TCTCAAGTGGTGTACAAGCAAGTCTCGAGGGGGCATTTGTAGACACTTAAATTTTGATAAATATTGATTATTTATCAATATTAGTATATTTGAATATATTTGAAATATTTTGGATAATATTGATATTATCTAATTTGTTAATTAGATAATATCAAAAGAGTTTGAGCTTATCAAAACTCTCTATCCTACAGCTATAAATAGGGTATTTCATTTCTATGTAATCACAGACATCCTAGGAAAAAAATCATGTAAACATTTAGAAATATATATTATTCAGAGATCACAATGAAAATGTGCTTCCTGAAAGTAAAATCCCCTCCTCCAATCCAATCATGCATGTTGATCCAAACCTCTATTGAAGATAAGCCATTTGAACCCGGAGGCCGTTCAAGAAGAACAAGCTATATATACAAGCCCTTCTTTGAAGATCAAGCCACTTGAAACCCGGAGGCCCTTCAATGGTGGAGTGTTCAAGACATCAATTGGAGAATCAAAGGACCATCCAGAGACTTGTACCCACACCGCATTGATATACTTGATATGTAATTCAGAATTTTGAATTTCTAAATATAATTCAATTTTCTTTGATAACAGCCTCCTTGGTGGTTCAGGTACGGGTAAATTACAATTTTGTGAGCATTGTGTTTTTGGGAAACAAAAGAGGGTTAGTTTCTCTACTGCTACACACCGTACCAAAGATGTATTGGAATACATACATTCTGATTTATGGGGACCAACTAAATTCCAGTCTATGGGAGGCTGTAGATATTTTATGTCTATTATTGATGACTTTTCTCGTAAGGTCTGGGTCTATTTCCTGAAACATAAAAATCGGGCATTTTCTATTTTCAAGAAGTGGAAAATACTTGTTGAGACTCAGACAGGTAAAAAAGTCAAGAAGCTCAGAACAGACAATGGCTTGGAGTTCTGTGAGTCAGATTTCAATGACTTTTGTGCGGCAAATGGAATCGCCAGGCACAAGACCTTGCCTGGTAAACCCCAGCAGAATGGTGTTGCCGAACGTTTGAACATGACTCTATTGGAAAGAGCTCGTTGTATGCTCTCTAATGCTGGGTTATGGAAACAGCGTGATTTTTGGGCCGAGGCCGTTTCTACCTCATGTTATTTGGTAAATAGATCTCCACACTCATCCCTCGATTTCAAAATTCCAGAGGAAGTTTGGTCAGGTAATCCTGTTGATTACTCTATCTTAAGAGTTTTTGGATGTCCTGCTTATGCTCATTCCAGTACGGGTAAATTAAACCTGAGAGCTGTCAAATGCATTTTCCTTGGTTATGCCTCTGAGTCAAAAGGGTATCGTCTTTGGTCTCCTGATTCTCAGAAAATCATTATGAGTCGTGATATCACTTTTGATGAAAATGCACTACTTTATTCTGGAAAAGTTCCCAGTACAGATGAGACGCAGAGTATTGGTGAGAAGGTGGAGTTTGAATTCAGGCCGATTGATAGTGTACTACTACTGATGGTAATACTAAAGATGATGCATCTACTAGCGTCGCACCTCTCGTCGAGCCACAACGAGAGTATTCCATTGCTATGGATCGTCCTAAGAGGACAATTAAAAAACCTGCTAGGTATGCTAGTGAGGATGAAACCAATATGGTTGCTTATGCTCTTTCAGTCACACAGGAGGTTGATGGTGATCCATCCTGCTATTCCGAGGCTCTTCCTGTTGCTAAGTTCAAGTAGTGCTTGATTTTAGTCGGGCTGTTCCAATTTTTAATTCCACAGTGGATTTGATCCAAGGTGGAGATTGTTAAGAAAATAATATATGTGGCTCAAATTTATTGTAGAAGACCCACTCAACATGTAATGCATTTGTTGTTGCCGCAACTTTCTCCCCCATGTAGCATGTGTGTACACGTTCTTTTACTTCATGCCACTTAATTCTCTCATTTTACTTTGTATAAATAGATTAGGTTGATGCTTTGTAATTCACTCATTCACAACATCAATTCATCATTGAATTCATTGTTATTCCTTTTTATTATTCTTTCTCACGTAGATACTAATATATATATATATATATATATATATATATATATATATATATATTTTCCCATTGTTCGTTATTCATATGTCATTTATATAATTTTCCTTATTTATATTATTTAACTTCTATAATCTCTCAATTTTTGATTCTTCGCTTCCGCATTATTCCGCTATATTCCTAACAATAACAAAGTCTAAGAAGAAGAAGATAATAATGGAATCTCTGTGAATGCAAGAATATAAGTGAAACTAAAATAGAGGAATGATAGCTGGAAAATATCGCAGAAAATTTAGGCAAGCTAGAGAAGAGAACTCAAAACCTTTAATTTGTGTCAGGGAACTATAGCAAGCATTCTACAGCACAACACGTTCATAAAAGCACAAAGTTGTAAGTACATTCTAGAGAGTTAGCCACTGGACTAGCTAGAACAAAATGCAGACTTCAAAACTAGATAGATTTTACACAGATTGATTTGACGGTGAAAATGATGACCAGCCACCCTTTCAAGATTCACTTTTTTTCCTCTTTGAAATTTAACTTTGCCTCCGATCCTATGCATTATCTTTAATTTATTTCTCACCTTGTGAAACAGCAGAAAAAATCCCATGTAGTAACACAGGAAAAAAAGTGAGGAAATTAAATTCATAGTCTGGGAACCTCAGATTAGATAGATTAACACAATGAGTGAAATTTAAGTTAGAGAGAAAAGAAGGATGAATGTGTTTTGTGTTTACCATCAATTTGATCAGGATTTTCCATCTGGACTTTTATATTTATCATTTTATCCGGAGTAATCTCCATAAACTACGAACCTGGGAAAAGATCCAGCAAGAATCCAGTATGGAGAAAACCGGATTAGTTATTGGAATTGAGGTGAGAAATGGTGGAAATTACAATCTTTTGATTAAGGCTTTTAATTACATCAATAATCTCCTTCTGAATAGCTCTAGGCCTTTTCTTGGGTTTTCTGGGTGGTTTGACACCGGTAATGGCAGTGAAATCAGCTTCAATCTCTTTTTTGGAGAGACGGATCGGAAAACTTATCCTTTTGCGGCGGCGCCAAGTTCACTACTTTTCCACTTCCGTCGCCAGCTCGGCGACTACGCAAAGTCCACGGGCAGGCAGCAGCGGGGTTGGAGCACGTCCTCCTCCTCAGAGGGTTTCTTATCACCATTGTTGACCACACCCGTCCGGCCTTTCCCTTTCCCCGGTGTGCTCGGCAGCTGCATGGAGTCGATCATCGGCTTCTCGATATCAAAAAATCGTCGTCCACGGGGGAGTTAATCGGAGAAATTTGCTGCACTTGATTGCTACCGTCGTCCTCCTCGAGGTGATCACCGGAAGAATTGCCGAGCTTCATGCAAAGGAGGTGTTTTTGGTGACCCCATATGAGGAATGAAGGCAATGTGAAGTTGTGAAGCGGTCGAGTTGTCGGATTAGGCTACTGTCTTTCTCTCTCATCGTTTCCAGTAATTATTTATGATATCTCTCACACTTTCTAGATAGAACAATATGTAGGGATTAGAGTTCTTGTTTTTCCGGGACGAGCCACAGAGTAGGGGTGGGGTTAGGGGTGGTTGTTTTAGGGCGCATTCCCCAAGAGGTCACAAATTGTAGACTGGATACCAAAATAACCGTGCATGAAAAAAGTGATCCAAAGGAGGAAAAGCGTGTCGCTGGATACCTACTTTAGTATTTTTACAAAGTTGGTCTCTGTCAAACCATCTTTATTTTTAAAACTAATACTAATCTAGTGTATTCCTATTTTTATGGTATATATATACGGTATATTATATTATTATGGTATATATACTGTCAAGCAATATAAAATTAATTCAACGACTCATGTTTAATTACAATTCATATATATATATATATATATATATATATATATATATATAATCATAAAATAAAATGTAATGATTGTAAAGAAGAAAGTCTAACGACTCATGTTTAATTGTAATTATACTATAAGGGGAAAATAGTACTTTTCCCCATGTGTTATATACTTATAGCACTTTTTCTCCATTTTTTTTTTTGAAAACCAACTTAAATGGCATATATTAGAGATATAAGCTGAAATAGCATCCGGTGGGAAATCATCCCAGTACATAACAGTAGACTGATTAAAAGCTATAGACGCTAAAGAATGAGCTAATAAATTATTCGTTCTAGGGACGAATGTAACTAAACAGTAATCGAAATAGAAAATTAAAGTCCTACAACTATCAATGACATATCCAACATAGGACCGAATAGGACCCGTAGTAGTTGATAAATAACGATGCAGCTGCTGGCAATCTGTGTGTAGCACAAACGTTCGTTCTCCCCGATTCCTCATCCATGATAAAGCTTCCTTACATGCAAATGCTTCTGCCATCAAAGGGGAAAAACAGTTGGGAAGTTCGGCATTGAAGGCTGCTCGGAAAGCTCCGGTTTCGTCCAAGAGGACAGCTCCAACGGACGCCTTGTTCGTTGCGGGCAGGTAGCCTGTGTCGACATAACACGAACTCAACTGTGCTGGAGGGTGAGCCATTCCAGCCGTTGGATTCACTACAGGAGCTGGCGGGTTGGTGGGGTGCTGGTACAAGCTGCCGTCGGAATGCACTTGCCGCCATGCTTGTACCGTAGCCGCCGCTGTCGCCACAACTTTCCTTGGTGTTGGTAGGCAGCGATCCCATACTGCTCTGTTTCTTGCCCTCCATATGTGGTATAGAATTGAAGCTGTGAACATAATATCATTAGTGTCTAAACCATTCATTACTCCATCAAACCAAGAGTAAAACACATATGTCACAGTATTGGGGATTGGGAGGCGGGACTCATTCCATGTAGCCTTTGCAAAATCACATACTACTAAAGCATGCATAATATCTTCATTTGTAGTGCCACACATAGCACATGTGGGATCAATTTGTACTCTCTTTACAATTAGATTCTGTGTAGTTGGGAGGATATCACTCAAAGCTCTCCATAAAAAAATCTTCTACTTGGGGGGAATCTTAAGTTTCCATAGTGAGAGCCATTTATTAAAAGTGCCACCATTATCCTCATGATTTCCAACAATGAGCCTATATCCATTCTTTACTGAGTAGCAGCCACTTGGATCCCAATGCCAATACCAAGAATCATCATCGTCTGGGGAAATAGGTATCTTCACAATCCGGGGTATATCAATTAGATCAAATATATCTGCCAAAATTGATTGATCCCATGTTCCAGTATCCTGGTCAATCAAACCCACCACTTTAGCCCCTACCAAGTGGGGGTTTTTTCAGTTTGTATCGTAGGATCCTGACCATCCTCCTGAAGCCACGGGTAGTCCCAAATCAAAGTAGACTCTCCATTTCCAATTCTCCGTATAACTCCTCCACAAACTAACCCCTTCGCTGCCATAATACTTCGCCAGCAAAAACTAGGATTATTCCCCAAACATGCTTCAGAAAAAGAATCCTTTGGATAATACCTGGCTTTATATACATGGGCTACCAACGAGTCACCCTTCGTCAACCATCGCCATGCCTGCTTTCCCAACATTGCCAAATTAAAGGCTCGCAAATCTTTGAAACCTAGACCACCAAACTCTTTAGGGATACATAATCTATCCCATGCCTTCCAATGGATGCCATGTTCAGAACCTGTACCCCACCAGTAACGATTCATAGTCCTCTCAATTGCTACACAAACATTCATAAGCAATAAAAACACACTCATTGAAAATCTAAGCATTGATTGTGCCACACTTTTCAATAAGACTTCTTTACCAGTCTGTGATAGTAATTTCTTAATCCAGGACCCTATCCTCTGTCTGATCTTATCCTCAATATATGAGAAAGCTGCCTTTTTATTCCTTCCAACAAATGAAGGGAGCCCCAAATATTTACCGAAATTCGGAGCCTGCACCACACCTAGGATCTGCGACACCTCATCCCTATCCTCCACACATGTATTTTTACTGAAACATATGTTGGATTTATGATAGTTTACCACCTGTCCCAATAACTTCTCATACACAGCCAAACAATCTGTAACTGCCCCAGCCTCATTAGCATTTGCCTTAAAAAAATAATAGACTATCATCTGCAAAAAAAAAAAAAAAAATGAGAGATGGGGGGAGCACCTCTCGCAACTCTACAACCATGAATAAAACCATTACTCTGTGCCTGTTGTAGTAACACTGATAGCCCCTCCGCACAAATAATAAACAGATAGGGAAACAGGGGTCTCCTTGCCTTAACCCTCTAGTAGGCGTGACAGGTGCATTGTGTGTCCCATTAACCAAGAAGCTATAAGACACAGATGTAACACAAAGCATAATCGATTAGGTCCACCCATCTACTGTCAAAACCCAAGGCAAGCATAATCCCCCGGAGAAAATGCCACTCCATGTAATCATAGGCCTTTGCCATATCCAGTTTCAAGCCCCCCCCCCCCCCCCCCCCAGCCAACAGCCCCACACTGCTTCCTATTTAGAAAATGTCCCACCTCCGCAGCTATTAAAATATTATCAGTGATAAGTCGATCCGGTATAAATGCACTCTGAGACTCCGAGATTACTTCATCCATTAATGGTTTCATTCTATTTGCCATCATTTTTGCCATGATCCTATATATCACATTACTGAGAGCTATTGGTCTCAAATCAGACACAAATTCCGGGGTTTCCTTCTTAGGGATTAAAACCACATCTGTCTCATTCAAACCAGGTGGAAAGGACTGAGCATCCAAGCAGTCCACCACAAAATCTGACACATCCCTCCCCACCACATCCCAAAAATGCTGATAAAACCCTGGGTTCATCCCATCCGGGCTAGGTGCCTTATCCGGAAACATTGAAAACAGTGCATTCTTAACCTCTTCCCTCTCAAACGGATGTATGAGAGATTCATTATGAGACTGTGTGACCTGAGGAGTCACGCCCTCAAATATAACATCTCCACTCTCAGGGTGGCTAGTGCAGAAAATATTATCGAAATACTGTAATATAACCTGAGTCATGGCATCCCCCTCCACCCAATCCCCAGCATCATTCATAAGAGTAGTAAGAGTATTTTTCTTTTTTCGGTGAGAGGCATACCTGTAATAAAACCTTGTATTAGCATCTGCATTCCTGAGCCAGTGTTGCTTGGCCCTCTGTCTCCAGTACGCATCCTCCTGAGCCTCAAGCCGGCTCAAGTGTTCCTCAAATTGCTGGTACTCAAGGAGAGAGTCCGGGTCCGTACACCCTTTTAGACACTCCTGCGCCTTCTTTAAACTCATTATCCTCTCCCCAAATTTATGGAATCGAACACCCCCCCCCCCCCCCCATCTAGATAATCGATGACCACAATACTGAACACAACTCTGGAAACCCCTATCCCTCCCTTCTGCCCATGACTCCACCACACGCCTACACCCCTCGTCATATAACCACGCAGATTCAAACCGAAAACCCCTTCCCCTACCACTCCTCCCTCCAGATGGATCCCTGATTTCCAGGAATAATACTGAATGATCGGACTTACGAGTTAACAGATTAGTTACCCTCGCTCCAAGCACTATAGAATTCCAACTATTCGTAGACAGTACCTTATCCAACCTTTCCTCAATCCAAGATGTTGTGCCTTTACCCTTCTCCCAAGTAAACTGGTAACCACCCATAGACATTTGGGACAACCCACATTTCTCAATAGCATCCCCAAATCCGCGTAGGAGCCTATCCGGATGCAGATTACCCCCTCTTTTCTCATGCTGGAACAGGAGGTCATTAAAATCTCCAATCATCACCCAGGGCAAGTCAAATTTTGATGCAAGCAATTTAATTAACTCCCACGACTCATTCCTTCTCTGCCGCTCCGGGAAACCACAATAACAAGTCATCCTACACTCAGGGAATCCTGCAATACTAACTTTAATATCAATGTGATTTTTCGGGAAACTCAAGAGATTCGCAGTATTATTCTTCCTCCACAACAAGGCCATGCCACCACCCAGCCTTACAAGATCAACATAAAACAAACCATCGAAACCAAGATTGACACGAATACTTTCGTCATGCTCTCTGCCTACCTTGGTTTCCATAAGAAAAATAAAGTCGGGTTTCTTACGGGATGCTAGGTCCATAATCTCGCGAACTGTCTGTGGATTACCCAAGCCACGGCAGTTCCAACTTAGAGTACTCATCGGATCGGGCGGGTCTGAGAACTAGATCCCGCCACATGCAAGTTTTTTGAACCACCCTCAGTCATCAAAACATCCACATCATTACCACTCTCCCGCCGCATACTACCATCAGCCCACTCCCTCCTTCTATTTGCCAACGCCATAACTTCCACATCCGACTCCATACCCATGACCGGAACAGCCCCTACCGCCCCCACAGCCGGCATACCACCCATCACACCCGTACCGCCACCAGCCACAGCCGGCCCCTCCGTCGATAGCAGCCAGCTTTCACCCACCGCAAGAGGGCCCCTCCGGTTGCCTGCACGCAGTTCATCCGAAAACGGATATTCTCCGACTAGGACCGGCGAGTCTCTTGCATGGACACAAAATTTGTGCACATGGCTAATCACCCCACAAAAGATGCAGAAAGTATGCAGACGCTCGTACTTAAACGTGATCCAGCATGTAGTTTTGTCACGCTTCATAAACTTCATCCGGCACCTTATCGGCTTGTTAACCGGCAAAGCAATAGGAATACGATAAAACGTTTTCCATGGGGCTCCAAAAAACCTATCATCACCTTTAATAAAAGTACCCAAAACATTCCCAATCTGTTCCAAAATTCTGTCAGACGTGTAACCCATGGGTAAGTCATATACCTGCACCCACATGTCTACAGAGTCAAGAACAACATCCCCTGGTAGCGCACCATCGGCAACCTCCCTGCAAACTAGGGTTGCGTTATCAAACGCCCAAGGACCCTCTTCAAGCACACGTATCATATCCGTTCTATGGTAGAACACAAACAGGAATAGCCGGGGCTGTATCTCAGACACTTGTATGCCCCTCACCGGTTTCCACACTGATGCAATAATCTGCCGCATATACTCAATCTTGATCAGTTTCTTGGTCAAGAACCTTCCCACTATCCTCCACGTCGGACCTAGACCACTCGCATCTCCCCCCACACCATCCTCGTCCGGCTGGAATGTCGTTTCCTCTTCCTCAAGGGCGATGTGTGCCCATCGTTGCGTAAGAGCAGCGACCTCTACAGACGTGCTCACTCCCGCCATTTGCCACGAACAAGAACAGCGACGAACACCACACAGATGCGCAGAGAACCGACGATTAACCGTAGGGATACCAGTAAGAAACAGAGAGAAAACCTGGAGCAAACCCTAGGAGAGAGAGTTCTCGAGAGATTATTGTTTCGACGGAACCTAGCACTTTTTCTCCATAAATTATTTAAGTGACAGCTTTTTCCCCTGATATATTAAACAGAAGATCAAGTTAAAAATAATAATAAATTAATCAATCAATCAAATCTAGACAAGACAAAATTATTTTGATTATAATTACTTTAAAATATATTATTATGTAGGTTGATTATAATAAAAGAAACGTAAATAAAATAAAAATTTGGCAATCTAGTCAACAAAAACTTAAAGTTAATCTGTTAAAAATGTTAATTGTTTTTTTTTTTTTTTAGTTCAATGGCTTATTTGCTCCTTATTTTCAGATTCAATGGTTTATTTGAGGATTATTTGAGTTTAACGGTTATTTGAGTTCAATGTTGTTTCCCAAATAGTTCCTTGGCTTATTTGTACTTTATCCCTTTTTATTAATAGTATATATAGATTATAACAATTTTAATTATTTAAATTCTTAATTAATCATTGCTAATCAATTTTATCAAACTATATTATTTAATTAATTCTATATATGTACGTACAAACATGTATAATACCTATATGGCTTTCCCTTTAACTCAAGGAGACCATTTCTACACAAACGGTCTCCTTGAACATGGCTTTCCCTAGTTAGTACACAAAATCCATGCAGGCCTATATTGGTATCCACTATTATTTTTGTGCCTAATCTGAGTTATGATTCGTTGTTTTACTTGTTTCCATTTTAGGTTCTTATTTGATTTATAGCCCTAGAAACAAATCGAGTAAAACATTTTTTTTGGGGTCAATTTTTCCTTTCAAAATCAATGGTTTTGACTTCGTATAAGGAGTTGTCCAACCCCCAAATGACAAGAATCAAACCTCCAAATAATATTCAACTAATTTTCTTCCCAATTAAATAAAAAAATATAAAAATTAAAAAGACAATATAATAGTGCAGATTAGTGGGAACCAACACTGTCTAGCATGAGCGTGCAATGCACGCGCAAGCTAAGGGCATTGGATTCTGCCGTGTATTTTTTTAATACTTTTTCTCTCTCGTCGACTCACATTAAAAAAAAAAAAAACACAAAACAATAAAAACAAAACAAAACTACCCAAAAGGAGAGTGGAGAGGGAAGGAGAATTAATTACAAAACATTTTTTTTCGTGAATTTTCTTCACAAAAGTAAAAGAAAAACCGTTTCTCAAATTTTAAGGAAAATGTTTTTTTTTTTTAAATCACTAGTGTACGTGTGTGCACCAACACTACATAGCATCGGAGTGCACTTGCACGTGCCTGAGATGATTAAGTGGTTGCCACATTTTTTTAAAATACCTTTTTATTACTATTCTCATACATGAAAGTTACAAGTACAATTCTTGCGAACAACCTCTTGCATGAGTCTTAGTGTAGGTGTTGTTCTCTCTAAGAGCATTAAATTTATAATTTTTTTTTGGCACATATAATAAAGGATGAGAGGGGGTGGGGGTTGGGTGGTTAAGATTTGAGAAGACTTAGATTGTGAAAGGTTGTTATTTCTTTTAAATATTCTCACTAAGTTTGCTTTCTTTTTTCATTATTCAATTAATTTTCTTCCCAATTAAATAAAAGGATATATATATATATATATATATATATATATATATATATATCATTGGTGCGCATTAGTATACACCAACACTGTTTGGCACTACACGCGCACGCTAAGAGCATTGGATGGTGGGCATGTTTTTTAAATAATTTTCCTTTCTTAGCTTGAGCACCCGACATATCACAAACAAAAAAAAAAATGAAAAACAAAAAAGAGGGACGACGATTTGGGAAAACCGAAGACGTAAAGAGTAGTTTTATAGCGTCTGTGCAAGTAAGAAAATTATTGATTATAAAACTCACTTGTGAAAGCAAAAGAAGATCATGATCGGATCGCGGAAGAGGCGGTTGTCGTCTACGTGGAGCGGAGCAAAAATTGATGAATTCTGGGGATTTCTAGAGACAGAAAGGAATTTGTAATTTAATTGAGATAGAAAAATTACCGGGAAATGTCTATTATGCGACGTGTGTATATATTTGGAGGACTGGTTTGGTGGAAGGATTGCAGGTGTTTTGTAGTAGAGTATGAGACTAGAGAAGTGAGGAATGACGGGGTGGGTTGTGGGTGGAGTTAGGGGTTGCTGTTTCCATTTTGGGTTCTTATTTGATTAATAGCCCTAAAAACAAACAGAGTGAATATTTTTTTTGTCAATTTCTCTTTTCAAAACCCAAGGGTTTTGGCTTCGTATAAGGTGTCCAACCCCCAAACGACAAGAACCGAATATCATCTTATAGCTCGAAAAAATAATAATAAGTGAGACTTCTCATTGACTAGACTAATGTCCATGCAAAAGAGGGAAGGAGAAGAAGTTTATTGCGAAGCATACATTTGTTCTAATCTTTTGTGCAAAACTTAAATAAAAAATTGGTTCTCTGAATTTTTATTGAAAAAGAAAAAAATGTCAATGGTATATATAAGTGTGCACACTAACACTGCATAGCATGCATGTGCACTCGCACGCACCTACTGAGACCATTAAGTGGTTGCCATGTTTTTATTTAATGCGTTTTTATCAATATTCAATTGGACCTACCAGAAAAATGTTATAAAAAACTAACCCGAAAGAGGTGACCAAGTGAATAGAATACAATTCTCATACATGAAGGTCACAAGTACAATTCTTGCCGACAACCACATGTTGGGTCTTAGTGCAGTGTTGTGCACTCTAATAACATTAAATTCATAACTTTTTTGGCACACATAATAATGAAAATTGAGGAAAGGATGTTATTCCCAATAAATATTCTCATTCAGTTTAATTTGATTCATTCTTTCATTATTCACCTAATTCTCTTCCAATTAAATAAAAATATATAAAAATTTAAAAGGCATTGGTGAGCATTAGTGGACACTAACACTGGACGCGCATGCTAAGGGCATCAGGTTTTGCCATATATTTTTTTTAATACTTTTTCTCTCTCGTCGATCGACTTGATAAACACAAAATAATAGGCATTTCATAAAACATATTGTGTTCTTAACATCTCATGCATACTCATATTTTCTCAAAGGTGGAGTATGGTTAATTAATCCCTCTAGTCTAGATTAGATAATCACGGTCCACACCACACGGTATAACATAACAAAGTCTAAGAAGAAGAATTTAATGGAATGGAATCTCTGTATAAGCAAGAATATAAGTGCAACTGAGATACAACAAATGGTAGCAGGAAAAACATCACTGCAAATTTAGGCAAGCTAGAGAAGAGACTCAAAAGCTTTAATTATTAAATTTTACACAGATAGATTTTGATGGTGAAAATGGTGAACTTTATATTTATCTGGAGTGATCTCCATCAACCACGAGCCTGGGAAAAGATCTTGCAAGAATCCAGTATGGAGATCAGAGAATCGGATTAGTTATTGTTGGAATTGAGGTGAGAAATGGTGAAAATTAGAATCTTTTAATTAAGGCTTTTAAATACATCAATCTCCTTCCGAATAGCTCTGGGCCTTTTCTTGGGTTTTCTGGGTGTTTGACACCCGTAATGGCAGTGAAATCAGCTTCGATCACTTCTCTAGAGAGAGCGATTGAAAACTTACTCTTCTACGACTGCGCTAAGTGCACTACTTTTCCATTTCCGTCACCAACTCCGCAATTACGCGAAATCCAAGGGCAGGCGGCAGCAGGGTTGGAGTCCTCCTCCTAAGAGGGTTTCTTATCGCCATTGTCCGGCCTTTCCCTTTCTCCTGTGTGCTCGGCCGCTGCACGGAGATCAATCATCAGCTTCTCGATATCATCATCGTTAGCGAC